TTGCCACAGCATGCATTCAGTCGCTGTGTGTGAATCTCTCTTCAAAACATACATGCATGCGTGATATGAGAGCCAAAAACTTTTTCAACAAACTATTGCCCAACCGTATTGAATACCATGTGGTCCATGCCATGGACGCCATGGTCAAAGGTCCATGATAAAATATTAAAAATAATTCAATATTTTCCTACTTTCTATGTTTTTGAATGAATATATTGTCTTGTGAATGTATTTGACGAATTTCTGGGTGCGTTCGAATCTCATCGTATACTAGCTATTCGCCCAATATTGATGTCTGCTCAATTTATCCGTGAATGCTCACATAAATATGAAACAAACACAGCAATAATCCAAAGCAATTACTGTACAAAAAAAAAAAAACAACAAATTTTGTTCGAAGTTACATATCTTAAAATTCTGTTATTCGTTTATGTAAAAGAAAATTCCTTGATACCAAAATCGATCTAAAACAACCCAACAAAAAGAAACACAAAGTTTATTCAACAATTGAATTGATAGTTTGATGAAGTAACTTTTCCGGCATCGAAATACAAATTGTGATGTAAAGAAAGTTCAAACTATGAAATTCATCGTATGAATTTAATAACCAAATCAAAAACAGATATTTCCATTTTCCAAATTCTCAAACAGGAGTTTCATATCCATTTTCAAATACGAACCAAAATACATTCGTATTTTCGATTGAACAGCAATATGCCTGTCAGACACAGGAATCATACTCTGTTATGGGCGGAGATTCTTCCGCATTAACGGAAAATGTATGAAATCAGCTAAATGGTAGAGAAAAAGAGTGTGAGAGAGAGAGAGAGAATAGAGATAGATGATGTAGGATTTGAAGTGAATTCCGTGTGAACATGCTACGAAATTGACTATTTCATAATTTTTCAATTTAAAGTCTTGGCTTTTATTACTTTCGACTCATTTTTTATGAGTCATTCAAACGCTGGACGTTTGGGTTGTTGTTGTGGTGGTAGTGGTGTTGTTTTCAAGCGGTATTTACTCCAGTACTTTTGTCACACACAGCACGTGCCTCGTTTACATAAACTTGGCATTATTAGTTGCACTTGCATCGTCATAAATCCACTCAACAACCTGAATCGAGGTTGCTGTAAATATGTAAATACAAAAAAAAGTTCCACTTAAAGTAACGGATACTTTTGTTTATTGTTTTTTTCCGTAATATCAGTGAAAAATAGTTTTTTAAAAATTTCCTTCAATCAAATTAAATGTGGCATACTAATTTCAAAGTTTATGGCGAATATTAATTTTCAATTTTGTCGTGATACTTAGTTCCGTATTCGATTTGAAATTGTTTGTGTCATTAAATTCTCTGGTGTTTGCATGAAAATAGGGATGAAGTGACTACTATATTTCTAATTAGTATACTCTGGGTTCCACATTGATAAATGTGTTTTGTGTTTGCATCAACGCTTACAAACAAACCAACTGTGACTATTTAAAAAGGAAATGGATACTGCAACGTATAACAATCATTTCTATTGTTGTCGCTACATTTCGAGGCCTGCCATCAGTTGCCTGAGCTGATTCATCTGGCTGAGAACATCTCAATAGAATCAGACATTAGTCTGATATAAATTAGTACAATTTTCTCATTTTTAAATAATGTTTATTAGTGGTTGCGAGTGGTTGGAAAGACAACATTTTAGATTAACGAAATGTCCTATTTTTCAATAAAATGAATATATGATGTATTTCATATTTTAATTTTTTAAGAATATTTTATTAATATTATACATTTTTAATTTTCATTAGGATTTTTTTTTAACTGAATTTATCACCTCATTTTTCAAAAATGGCACATCGTACAATTGCAATATTAAGATAAATTATTGGAACATTTTCAAGGAAATGAACAGCCTATACTTATATTGACAAAGTTTAAACATTGGCGCGCTGTTTAGTTTTGATTTGAGTTGTTAAATTACATTGACATCTACTTTGGAATTCGGGGCGCCACCGTCGGCTCAAAGAGACTTAAAGTCGTCACATCCTCTCATTGGATTGACTTCGCTGTATACAACTCATCAGTGCAGCTTTGTAGGACAGTACCATCTGCATATCAAATCACTGCCGGTGACTGTAGGCTTTTCATTTCCTTGCACTGTCGTAAATAAAAACAAATTAATTTGTTTTCATTCCTTAATAATTGTAATATTCGTTTTATGTATGATAATTTGAAATTATCACGTAATTAGTTCTGGTCGGAGATTTATCCGAAAACTAATTAGTATTTTCGGTGAAATTGCGCCTAATGTGTTCAGGTAAAACAAATAATAACATAAAATAATGTTAGTTTCTGTCATTAGTGAAACTATCTAGTTTTTTATGACGTGAAATGCAATAT